AATTAGACACACAGCCGGAATATTTGAACGGGTTCGCCAATCAATGTGTCGTAGGACAGATGCCTGTATTAGAGTTGAAGGTGCACATTTTCAACAACTGTTGTAACGCCTGTGTATGTAAAGTATTTTTCATATCATTGCTGTTTGTTAAATATTTTTTCTTATGTTTCTGTTAATATTAATTATTTAAAAAAATATTATTTAGTGAGTTATTGTTTCTCAGCTTGTTACATTGTTTTTCCTTCAAATGTATTGTTAAAGTTGATTAGTAAATAACTAAAACATTGAATTTCTATTTTTGTCTTCTACTTCCCTTAAGAATGTGCATATGAAATGATATTAATTTTTTGCTCGAAAACGAAGCAAGATATCAAAAAAAGTAAAGAGAAAGAAAAAGCAGTGACGTCTCATATGTTTACCTATTAATATCAACAGGAGTGAGTCCCCGGACGCCACTGGAATAGATAAAATAAATCAAATTACGTCAGAAGACGTCTACCGTTTTTATAAACAAACATACCAAATTTCAAAAAAATCGGAATTAGGGTTCTCGAGATATTAGTAAAAACCTTGTATTTTCTCTAAATTTCAACACCCAACATCTCCGAAGCGATACATTTTCGGACATAGGTTTATAGGAACTTTCTTTCTTATTTTTGATCAAGGAAATTCCCCATTTTTTTCGCAATATTAATGGGACACCCTGTATATTTGATGCTAATAAAAGTTATTTGTGAAGTAATTATATAGTGCTAATATTGTCTTTTTACGTTTTTTTTATGTAAACCCCCATCCCGTGATTGGTTTTGTACTGTGGGGTGGCGTAACTAGATATATAAATAAATAAACATTCCGCGACAGTTATGGTTCTACACTCTGAAATATCCCGGGCTAAGAGGTTATAGGATTTAAAGATATATGGGGTTGTGCTGCAACAAGATCTTGAATCTTTTTGTAATTACTTACTAGTACTACTAAGCTCCGAAAACCGCTTTCTAGAGAAGAGTTTCGTTGTTAGGTGATCAAAGTGGATCAAAGTACCGTGGAATACACTGGTCTGGCTCAATGCACAGCTGACTTTTTTATTTTAAGGTGCTGCGTAATTATGAATTGCTGTATTTTAAATTAAATTGAACATAAAATTATATAAGAGGAAAAAACGTAATATCACCAACTATAAATTATATTTTTTCGTTCTTGAACTGGTCCCCTCTATAGATCGCTTCACAATCAGAATTAATGTCACTATACAGCGTTTTGGAAATGGTCAATTAGTAAGTAGGAAAGCGATGAAACAGACGAAATATGACCAATGCATCCTTGAGGAGATATTATAGGCAAAATGGCTGTAACTCCACAAGGAAGCATTTTAGAGCAAAACGTGCAGGAATAAAGAGTTTTTATTTCGACCCTTTCAACACAATTGTGTTTCATTTTAAAATCTTAGCTACTTTAACAAAAATCTTAATAAACTGTTATATCTATACATTTTGTTCAAAAACTTTACGAATAACATTATTTGCAATGAATTGTAATTTAATGTTATTGTAATGTATTAAAATGTACGCATTGCGGAAAGTAACAGTAAAACCTTTACGTAAACGATCGACAACTATGTTCTTGTTTTATGTGCCATAAACCTTGAACCAGAATGCCTCTCACCGACTTTTTCAAAGATAAGTGCATCTTTATTACCGGAGGATCTGGTTTCATAGGAAGAGTGCTGATAGAAAAACTATTAAGATCTTGTCATGGACTCGAGAAAATTTACGTACTTTTAAGAGAAAAGAAAAGCAAAACACCCGAGAAGAGGATTAAAGAAATCGTCGACTGTGAGGTAGGTCTGTTTTTTGTCTAATAAATAACTTAATAATTAAAAAATAAGAAGTTAAAGAAATTAATATTGCTATTAAATAATTAAGAGAAAACATACTCCTGTTTGTTTTTTTCACAAGTTAGTGAAGCCTTATAAAACATGAAAAAGAATACAGAAAATTTTCATAAAATAGTTAAATTTCGTTAAAAATATACAAATTTATTAGTAAACATATCAACACTTAAATTTTGGCTGAAAGTATGCATAAGTGGTATTTCTGAAGTAGTTTTGAGCATTTCACCTCAACTGCGAATTAAAAACCAAATTTAATTCAGAAAATAAATAATTAAAAAGTTAATAAATAAACCCCTTCGCAGCAAAACTTAAACAGTAATTGTTTTTAATAAATTTATTTTGACACAGACACGAAAATGTATGATTTACTTAATTAGACTTAAGTAAATTTTCGTGAATCTTCTTCTTTAGTTTCAGTGGAACAGAATAAATACAAATTATTAAAAAAAAAGTAAAAGAAAGGGTGTTTCGCATAAGAACCGACACAGAATAGGGGCATGTAGGGGATCCCAAAAACTTTTGTAATCGCCTTGAAATGACTTATAGAAAAAAGTTATAAACTTATATTGGTACGCTAATTATTTTATAATTGTTTAAACAATAAAAAATGTTTTTTCAAAGATTATTTTAAATAAAAAATTTCAGACCAATTTTAATCGAATTGATACTATATGGGTTTTCGAGGTCACTGAAAAAGAATATAATGTTAAAAAAATAAAAATTCAAAATGGCTGATCCAATATGGCCGACTTTTTTAAACAATTTTTTAAAAAATGACAATTTTCAAAGCAATTTTAATAAGAATAAATCCCATATGAAGACAAACCCATGGGTGACACTGGAAATCATTAATGAGGGGATTATGTTAAGAGAATTATATGATATATACAGATGTACTAATGATAACGAATTAAAATTGCGCTATAAGACTAAAAAAAAATCATAAATAAAAAATGATTGTATAATGATGAAATCAACATATTTTGATAATAATATATTGAATTCTTCTAACAAATCTCAAGCAGCTTGGAACATTATTAAAAATAATTGTAATACTTTAAATAGTAACATTTGTCAAAGCTATCACGATGATGATGGGAACAATAGTTCAAACTTACATAAGGCCGCAGATGCATTTAATAATTTTTTTGTCGATTCGGCCATTTATATCCGTTCCTTTGACTAGTTTCATCTCCGACTTTTATATGGCCGAATATGGCCGACTTTTTTAAAAAATTTTTTTAAAAATTACAAATTTCAAAGTAAATTTAGTTAAATTGACATTATAAGGGTTTTTGAAGTCTCTGGACAAGAATATTATATCAGAAAATGAAAACTCAAAATGGATGATCCAATATGGCCCACTTTTTAAACAATTTATTTAAAAATTACATTTTCAAAACAATTTCACTCATATTGATATTTTTAGGATTTTTGAGATGATTGAACAAATATAAAATGAAAAATTTGAGCATGTTATGATGCAAAGTAGACCCGCCTTCCGGCAATTGCAATTATTAGCACAGCCACTTTTGCATCCGCAAAAAATCATTTTAAGAAGTTCACTTGGTGCTGGATCTTGAGTCATAAAAGTTGGAGTCATACCCGAATCCCTCCGTTAGACACGTAGCATGCGCCAGGTGAGCTCCATTCACCGAGCAGATGTTCTCTCTATCTCTTTCTAATATTCAAAAATATAATTCTCGAATCACGAGAATGAATTACATTGCCAGATAAACTTCTGCTACATAATTTCATAATGAAAAAATTTAGGTAAAACTGAATCTCGCGACAATTTATTGAAAAACCGTATTTCTTCGTATTTTATACAATATTATAGTAAAAAAAAAATTTTTTTCGTTAATTATACTTTTTTAAGATCACAGTTTGAAAATATATTGGTTAAACAAGCAAAAA